ACCACTTACTCATGCGTGGGCGTGTGGCACCACGACCGCGTCGAGATCATAGCCAATGATCAAGTTAATCGCACGACGCCCTCCTATTTCGCTTTCGCCGACGGCGAGCGTTTCATAGGCGAAGCCGCCATTAACCAGGCCGGCATGAACCCCGCAAACACAGTCTTTGGTGAGCAGCTTTTTTCCCCAATTTTTCTTCTGTTTTATTTTCGTAGTGTTATATTAAATTCCTTTCTTAAATTTCCTAGTGTTGTATTGAATTTCAGTTGCACAGTATATGTGAGGTGTTGATATTAGTATTAATTAGTTCATATTAAGAAACAACCCTACTCTGCCTCTAACCGTGTTGGGCGATATGCAGATGCCAAGCGGTTGATCGGGAGACGATACAACGCGCCTCTGTGCAAGCTGACATAAAGCTGTGGCCTTTCAAGGTTGTCCCGGACGCCACGGACAAGCCCATGATTGTGGTCTCCCACAACGGCGAGGAGAAGCAGTTCCCCCTTGAGGTGATATCTTCCATGGTCCTCACCAAGATGGCCGTCATTGCCGACTCCTATCTGGCCCCACCCTTGTCCGGGATGCCGTCATCACCGTCTCGGCCTACTTTAGCAACTCTCAAAGACAGGCCACCAAGGATGCCGGTGCCATTGCCGGCCTCAATGTCATCCGCATCATCAATGAGCCCACTGCTGCCGCCATTGCCTATGGCCTCAACTACAAAGGAGAGAAGAAGAATGTGGTGGTCTTCGACATAGGCGGTGGCACCTGTGACGTCTCCATCCTGACAATATCAAAGGGTACCGTCGAGATGAGGGCCACCGCTGGCGACACCCACCTTGGCGGGGAGGATTTCGACAACCGCATTGTTGCTCACTTTGCAAAAGAGTTCAAGCGCAAGTAGAACAAGGACCTTTCCGAAAACCCGCGGGCCCTACGGAGTCTGAGGACAACTTGCGAGAGGGCGAAGAGGGTTCTCTCGACCAATACTAAGACCAATGTGGACGTTGAGTGTCTGCACGAGGGAATTGACTTTTACTCTAGCATTACATGCGCTAAATTCAAGGATCTCAACATGAACCTGTTCGAAAAATGCGTCGAGCCTGTAGAGAGCTTCCTTAGAGATGTTGGGGTGGAGAAGGCTGCCATCCATGATGTCGTTCTGGTTGGAGGCTCGAGCAGGATTCCCATGGTTCAGAAGATGCTGCAGTTTATTTTCGAGGGAAAGGAGCTGTGCAGGAGCATTAACCCGGATGAGGCTGTTGCGTACGGTGCCGCCGTGCATGCAGCCGTTCTACGTGGCATAGGGGACGACAAGGTGCGGGACCTTGTACTCCTCGATGTGAACCCTCTCTCACTAGGAGTGCACACTGTCGTGGAGGCCATGTATGTCGTGGTCCCGCGGAACACGACTGTCCCCACCCAGAAAGAGCGAACATTGTACACAAATGTAGATAACCAGACATCTATGAGACTCCCGGTCTACGAGGGCGAGCGGGCGAGGTCAACAGACAACAACCTGCTCGCGCTGTTTATACTAAATCCGAGCGAGAGCTGATTAATCAACTTACCAGTTTCATTTTGGTTATTTATTCTAGTTTTCCCTCACTTTGTTCTTTCAGTAATGG